ATATCGTGCATCCCTAATATTCCTATCCTCCCCTATGTGAGAATGGGTTCCAATTTTAAAAGAATATAATTCAAAATAAATAATCTGAAAAAAGAAATTCACCTAAATAAAATTCCAAAATATGAAACCTTTAAAAAAATGTACAAAAAATATTTATAAAAAAACTGATGAAAAAAGAAAATCTAAGAAAACAGAAAAAGTTACTCTCAAACCTGTTATGATTAGGAAGTTTTTTTTAACTCTCATTCCTGGATTGCATTTTTTCCCCAAGACTATTTAAAAAACATGTTCTTTGCTTGTTGCAACAACATTGAAACAAAATTCACTCCATACAGGTTTAGATTCAGGAGTTGATTTACTTGTGAACTAATATTATTTTATCCCACTTCTAAGTAAGGGTATTTAACTCTGCTAAAAGTAGTATGTATGTAGCAGCAAGCACTGCACTGCCGTCACAATGTGTATGATGTGACATTTGATTAATCTTCATCCTGACTGAAATAAACCAGGCGATGCTGATGACATCAGGAGCTCCGTTTTAGGAATAAGTAGCTTTCCGTTTGTAGATCGAATCCTGCAGAGACTGTCAGAAATAACCACCTCTGTCATCCCTCCCAGCTAATTTTATCTCACCTCAGTATTGTTATGCAATGAAACACTCAGAACCCCGTCCTCTTACAAGCTCTCTAGTGAGCATACATTTTGAGGAGGCCGGGTGAGTAAGCATGACACTAGCTGACTTCAAACAGCGCCGTGGAAAAGGCAGCAGAGCTTCAACATGACAGGTTATCTGCAGGGCAGGTGCAAGTCAGCAGGAGGGCCCCATTTGGGTCCAAAAACATGGATTAGTTCATCTCAGAGGGTAAGGGAGCTCTAATCTGATCACCTTATATCTGATCACAGCATAAAATTTATATTTGATAAACCTTTGGATTTCTAAAAAACATCAGCATGAGTGGGGTCGGCACACACTGATATCAGGCGTATATCTAAGAAGGCATTTCAGACACAAGCTTGACAGATACATGGTGGTAAAGGTGATTTAGTTTGAGCTGCTTTCTCTCCTCCAGGGCTGCTGACACTGACTCAGTGCTTCAGCTCTAAATCCGCTCTCACATTCCCCTCAGATGCATGACAGCAAAGCTAACAGTGTGTGCATGAGAAGCTAACTCACAGACACCTTGTTAAATAGCACCTGGTGATCGTTTCAGAAAACAGTTGTATCATTGTTTTTATGATAATTGGCCTAAAGTTGGTGTTTTTCTCTGTGATTGTGCATTTTGCTGACAGAAATCTTTAACACATTAATAAATATATTTCAGTTTTCACAGATTGTTAAATATCTGTATATGCATTTTTCTTTTTAGTCTTTTCTATTTACCATTACGAAATCCTAAGCAGTTGCCTATGGCCCCAAGTTCCTGGGGGCCCCATAAAACTCTGTTTCGTTACTGTACTCAAGTAGATTTTTCTGATATTTTTACTTTACTTTACTACTTATTTTTATGGCGACTTTTTACT